GTGCTGTGAGCACAGAGCAGGGCTTGATCCTACTAACCATGAGATCATGACCTGAGCTGAGATCAGGAGTCTGACGCTTAACTGACTGAGCCACCCAGATACCCCTACATCAAGTATTTTCTATTTCCATTTCTTGTTTTGTTTCCGTCTCAATAGCCTTCATTCTTCTATTGGTGAGATCCTATCATTTATATTTTTGTGTTTATTTTATATATTATCTCTAATCTTCATAATATTCTAAGAAAATAGTATGATGATGACTATTTTAAGATGAAGAACCTAAAGCTTAGGTCAAGGTCCTATAAGTACTAAATGATGATGCCAAGATTTGACCCTAGGTTTCTATAATTCTGTAGCCTCTTTCTTCAACAAAACAAAACACCTTTTTTTTTTTTTTTAAGCTTATTTATTTTGAGAGAGAGCATGGGAGGAGCAGAGAGAGAGGGAGAGAGAATCCCAAGCAGTCTCCACACTGTCAGAGCAAAGCCCTGTGCAGAGCTGAAACTCAACAAATGGTGAGGTCATGACCTGAGCTGAAATCGAGCATCGGATACTTACCTGACTGAGCCACCCAGGCACCCTTCTGTAGCCTCTTTCTGTTATATCCCACTGCAATCTTGATAGGTTCCATGTTTATTTCCTATTCTATAAAAAGTCTCTAAGTTTCTCTATTTGGAGAGAATAGTTTCTCTGTTCTCTATTTGTGGTTTCATCCTCATTTGGCAGCCTGGCTTTAGGGAAGGCCTGCATGTTGCCCTGGCTGGAAGTGGGCTGGTGGCAGCCTTACATACTCTCCCCAAATAGGTTATACTGTAGATGTCAGTTCAAATTGAGAAAGCAGTGAATACAAGTTTGCTGTCAGGTCATATCCTATTACTTAGTTGTCTGCTAATTCTCCTTCTGGGAATTAAGTCCATCAGAGATTTGAGACTAAGCAATTTTTCAGGCACAAGGCAAAGCCCTCTGACATCTAGATAGGAGAGCCATTTGCAAGAACTTTTCCATTGGTGATTCTCCTTTGCTGCTGTCTTTAGGCCAGAAGTTATTTCCCATTTCAAAGGCTCTGCTAAAAATATGGGGCACAGGCTACTGAATAGTCTTTAGGGAATGCCTATTGTACATGCTTGGAGAAGGGTATGTATGTATGTCTAAAACCTCATCAATTTTGAACTAACTTTGTGCACTGGGATCTCTCTCCTTCCTGATCCTGATATGGCCAAGAGCTTCACAACCTGTGTTATGCAAAACTGGCCTCTGTGGGCATCTCTGCTCAGTTTTTCTTTAATATAACCTGTATCCCCTTGCACCACACCAGGACTGTTAAGCAGTGGATACTGGACATTCTCTGACTTTTGGCTGATACATTACCTGTTACACTCAGGATAGTGGGGTCATTATGGAAAGCCTGCTTCATATGGAATAGAGAAATTAGGTTTCTTCTTCACCAGAATCTGAATAAAGATGTGCAAGGCCGTAGCTCCTGGTTTATGGTTAGAACTATCTGGGGATAAGAACTACCAAATGCCTATTGTCACCAGAAATAACTTTTCATTGTAAAATTAGTAAGCACTTACTGACTATTCCTTGTGTGCAAGACACTGGACAGTCATCTCATGTCATCCGTATATGAGCTTTATACAGTTATAGTATAGATAGGATAAGAAAACTGAGGCTCAAAGAGATTAAGTGATGTGTATCAGTTTACATAGCTTGCTAGTGGTTGATCTGGGACCAAAATGTCTCTCCGACCTTAAAGCCTATGTCAGGTGCTTTTCCTCCAGAGACTCCAGGGGAGGGGTTTAGGTTCACACCCCAGTCCCCAATCTGTTCTTCTCTCACCTGAGGCAAAGTGTTTCAAGGCAAAGAAGAGGGCATAGAATCTTTGAAACTGAGGCCGTTTGTGTCTTCCACTTAAATCCAGAAGATGTTCCTTTGTGGTGAAGAATTATTTATGCACATAGGCTCTTTGGGTTAGTTCAAAATAGGTAAGTACTTCCTGGGCTGTGAAGACAGTTATTCTGGAATCCCAGGAGCTGTCTAGGTAGCTGTATAGCTACTGGGATGACAGTGTTTCTGTCAGTTGTTATGTTACTTTCAGGAATCAAAATGTTTATTCCATGTCCTTTTAGGAAGGTGAGTTCAAATTCTATTTTATAGAGAGACGGGTTGAGGCTCATTAGGTAAATTGAGATCCATAGTAAGAGTGAGATTCCCAGTTCAGTTCTCTATTAGGTCCCTTGCCAGCACCCAGGCTCCTGTCTACTGAGGGCCATATGTGGGGGTGTAAGGACTCCTTAGAGAACATGTGGCTTATCAGTGCTTTTCTGACTTTGAACCTGCCTGGAGCTAAAGTGGTGGACATGGTTCTAGGAAGCCCACAAGCCCAGCAGCTGATGAAAGAAAGTGGGTTTGCACTTGGGAAATAGACTGTTACCTGATGGATTGGGGAGAGACCTCAGCCTAGGAGGTACCTTTGGAATGGCCAGGAGCCAGAGACTGAAGCTGCAAATTGTAAAACCTAAGGTCTTTAGACAGAAGCAGTCTCGGAGATTGTCTTCTGCCTCATTGCTGCCCTCTGCCACGTCCCAGGCCAGTGTGGAGTGTGAGGCCCAAATGGGACATGTTCCTAATGTCTGAAGCTCCAGAAAGCGAAGTCACAGAATAGGAAGTAGCCCTAATGTTCCAAAGTCCCAAATGGACTGGAGTCCAGACTTGAACTTAGAATATCTTCTTCTCTTGGAAATCTAAGAGAGGTGATGAGGGCAGGAGATGGCAGAGGATGGGTGAACTGAAGGGCAGCTTGCCTTGAATAAAAAAGAAAGAAAGGAAGTAAGGTCTGGACAAGAGGAGAGCTGAGATCATGCACGGAGTCCAGCCAGGCCTTTGGTTTCCTTCCAAGGAGCTGATAGCTCCAAGGCCTTCTCTGTTTTGCCTTCCTTTCAGAAACAGAACTGAGTTCTTCTGCCAAAAGCCAACTTTGTTGGGAATGAAAAATATCTGTTTTTAGACCTTCCACTTGGCCATGGCAAGGGGAGAAAGCCCAGGGATCAAGGCAGCATTGCCTGAGGCCTGAGGCTCTCAGGATGTAGCATCTCTGACAGGCTGCACCTTCTCAAAATTCGCTTTAGCATAGTATTTGTCTTACCTGATACCCCTTAGGGAAGACTGAGCCCAGGATACTGGCTCATAGGCATTGCTGAGGCTGCCCAGAGTTCAGGGTTAGAGAAAGCATGTAATACTCTGTTCCGCCTGGTTCCTGGGGGCCCAGTTCCATCTTGGAGTTTTGCTTTTTATGGGGTTTTGAGCCATTCACTTCTGAGCCAAGACCTTGTCTATAGATATTTTAGCTACAAGCACAGCCCACATGCATGAGAGGGCTGGATTACTTTGTGAGTGACAGCCATTGCTGAGTACTGGTCCTCCTGCTGACAGAGCTGATAAATGGAATTAGAAGCAAAGGAGCCAGCCCCTACTAGGGTATGTGGGACACAGCCAGGCAGAGTGACCTTGGGGAGCTGGGTGTCTGGAGGGAAGGACACTGAGCCTGGAGCCTAGGCTAGACGTTTGCCCTAGCTGTCCGTCCCCCCACCAAACTTGAGGACACAAGCCCTCCTTGTGTTCTCCATCTGTACTCTCCCCTCAGAATTTGTTGGCAGGCAGAAGTGTTTTCTACCAAGTGACATGTGCCCTGGCACAAGATTGAATTGGTGAGAACTGCCCAGAGGTACTTTTGTCCCCCTCAGGAGGCCATCCTCAGTCCCTCTGACCAGTCCTGATTCTAGCTTAGTCTCTTCACCCTCCCCTACCTTCTGTTAAAATTAAGTCTTGGGGCACCAGCGTGGCTCAGTTGGTTAAGCATCCGACTTTTGATCTAAGCTCAGGTCATGATCTCACTGTTTGGGAGATCAAGCCCCAAGTTGGGCTCTGTGTTGACAACACAGAGCCTGCTTAGGATTCTCTCTCTCTCTCTCTGTGTCTCTCTCTGTCTCTCTCTCAAAATAAATAAATAAATAAATAAATAAATAAATAAATAAATAAATAAATAAATAAGTAAGAATTAAGCCTCACTCATTCCTCCCAAGCTCCTTACTGAGCTGGGAGCTCTTCATGATGTCATAGACTTCTGTCAGGTCAAGTTGCAAAATAGCTACCACCCAGATTACCACAGTGAACAGTCATTCCATCTCCTGGTCTCTCCTTTCTGCCCAGCTCCTTTCTAACTTAAATGGTGTGCCTTTCCCCCTGGTTGTCCTTGGCTTTGATTCATGGTCTTATCAACTGAAGTCCTACCAGAACTTCCTTTGGAAGCACTGAGATCCAAGGTTCCTGGAGTCCGTGGAGGTCTGAATCCACCCCACCCCCATAGAAAGTAAGAGAAAGGGGAGAGACCCCTCATCAGAACAAAACATGCGCTTAGCTCTAGCTTAGTCAAGAAAGTGTCCCCTACATCACAAGGCTGGGAGGCCCAAAAGTTCGATCCAGGCAGTGGATAGGAAGACAGTTGGCACTGAGAGATGAAAACAAGCGGCAGATGGTGCTGAGGAACATCCCGGGACTGAAGAAATGTGGTTCCCAGAAAGGGAAAAGGAAGGAGATATTGGCAAAATCTTACTCAGCAACTGTGACAGCCTAGCCAAAGAAAGCTGCAGGATATGGCTGAGAACACATTTATGGTTTGGGGATGTTGCTGAGCTCAGACACTCACTCTTCTGTCACCTCTTCTCGTGCTCTTTTACCATACCCAGAGTAAACAGCCCTGGTGTCCAGGCTGGATGGGTCAGGAAAAGCCAGGAATAGAAGAGGTTAGAAAATGGTCCCAGAAACCTGAGGAATTGCTCTGTGACCATGCTTTTTTTCTGGGTGATAAGTAGTAAGCATGGTCTCTTGGAGGTGTTGCCCCAGCTTGAATCCAACCCAGCAGGGCAGCAAGAGGGGCCTGGGGACCAAGTGACCTAGGGTTTGAATGGCCTAAGCCCTGCCTGGCCTTTGACCTCCTGCAGGTGCTGGAGGTAGTACGAGCCAACTATGACACTCTCACACTGAAGCTGCAGGATGGCCTGGACCAGTATGAGCGCTATTCGGAGCAGCACAAGGAAGCTGCCTTCTTCAAGGAGCTGGTGAGTCTGCCCCGCCTCCACCTCTGCCTGTGTCTCCTGAGGGCCCTTTCCCAGCCGGTGCATTGTACTGTGCAGGTGGGCATCTAAGGAAACAACCACAGTTTGCCAAAGGCTGATGAAATAAGACTCGAGGAGTCTGCTGGGATTGGGTGTGCGAATTGTCTCCTGAAGCAGCCCAGGACCAGGCAGTGAGAGAAGATATTCCCCAGGGTACTGGTGCCAGGTGGGGAAGTGTGAGAAGCCTGAGGCAGCATTGCCCATCTCTCTTCTGCAGCCATGGAGACGGCCCTTGCACAGCTCCAGCTGGGCCTGGGGTTTGACGTGTGTTCCCAGTGGCAGCTCTGGCTCATTACCCCGTATCCTGTCTTCCAGCAGCTAATGAGAGTCATTGATTCTTCTCCTCCTTATGCAATCACTTCTTCCTAAATTCCTAACTGGCTCCTGGTCTGAGTGCCCTCCCGATCTAGTTCTCCAGTCTTCACTCCTCACCCCACACCCCCCTTTCCCGTCACTCAGCCTCCTGCAGCCCCTACCCCTGGCCACCTGGAGTCAGTGAGCATTTGCTCTGCCTCCTACTAGTCTCCCAGTCAGCCCTGCCACAGAACTGAGCTCTCCCCGTTGATCGTCTCTCTGCTGCCCTGTGCTTAGAGCTGCTCTCAGGAAGAGCGAAGCCTGCCAATCTCAATCCTGCCGCGTCCCCCCCCCCCCCCCCCCCCCCCCCCGCCCCTCCAGCCTGGGTGTACACGAATGTCGTGGCTGTGAGTTGAGACCAGAGCACGCTATACTTCTTCCCATAGCCTCAGCCCTTGCACTGCTGGGACAGAACTCACCTCAGCCCAGCTTTTACTTCCCTATGCCAAGTTTATGATGAAGGTGCTGGGTTGTAGATTATCTGTCTTATGCTGAACACAGCCCTGCTCTGACCCTGACATGAGATTCCTGAGATTTTGGACTTCCCCAGGGTGAGGGAGATCTGCTCTGGAAGTGAGTGAGTTGGGAGCAGGGAAACAAGTGATATAAAGAGATAGCAGAGTCGAGTATGTTTATGGGGTCAAGTATATTTATGGCAAGTCTTTAAGTTGTTGTGGGGGGATTACTGGGGGCCCAGACTTCACAAAGAGTAAGTAATTGGAGAGGAAAAGATTGTGGAGGAGTTAGGGGAGCTCTCTTGGTACTAGCCTCTACCTGATTCAGTTCTCCTTATATCTCTACCTCTAGCACCAGGGAGCAAAGAGGGTCTAGTTGGGCTTGGAGGTAATGAGCTTGAGCCGCCCGCTGTTTGCCGTGCTGCCCTTGCCTCTGCCTCCTGCCTGATGACTTCATTATGTTTCCCATAGCTAAGCAGAAATTGAAGGAAAGTTCCCTGGTCTTTGGGGCCCAGGATAGATACACATGCTTTTTCTCCTCCTTCTCCCACTTTGTCTCTTAAACAACATTCACTTCTGTTGCCCATGAACAGCACTCCTTCCAGAGTGTGCTGGATTCCTCCCAGAACCCAGTCAGAGTAGAGAGTTTGGCCCTTTGACCCCTTCTCCACAGTCCTTTCCCCCACTGACAGAGGCAACACTTCCTGCAAGGCTCTCCATCTATGGGGAGAAAGCATGAAGGGAGTAGTGGGGACACAACAGGGATATGCCCCAGACTTTCCTTTAAAGCAGGGGGCTTCTCTGTGGTATGGAAAGAGTTCTGGACTCAGAGTTGAGAAACCTGGGTCCTGCTTCCAAGCCTGGGACTCGCAAGCTGTATGACCTGCTCCTCTTCGTTGGCCTCTGGATCGTACTCCTGCCCTCTATGCCAGACAGGGGCTGTGTCTCCAGGTGTTCTTTCCAACCCAGGAAAGTAGATAAATACAGAGAGAGAGTGAGGAGATCAGAAATGCATTCCCTGGCCTCATTTTCTCCTCCTCTATCAGACCACTGACCAGACCAGTCTCCCACTGCATGGCCGAGGCAAGGACAAAGGCCTGCCCTCACCCTCCTTCCCTGTCTGTGCTTACTTCTGCCTCTTCAGGTGCCCACATGTACTCTTCTCACATCTGCCTCTCAGCCCTGCTTTTCTTCCGCTTATCAGCTTATCACTGAACTATTTGCTCACTTGCCTGCAGGGATGATAGCTGTTAAGGGTTCATTTCCTAAGAGAGAAACTTCTAGCATTGCATCTCGGCCTTGTCCCTCAGGCACTGCCCTCTGTTGTTTGTAACCAACTCTCTCCTTGTTTTCTCTCTGCCTGTGCCCTCTTACCTTCCCCCACCCTTTCCCAGGTTCGATCCATTAGCACCAACGTCAGGAGAAATCTGGCCTTCCACACACTCAGCCAGGAAGTCCTGCTCAAGGAGTTCTCCACTATCTCCTGAGGCCACACGAATCTGAGCAGCTGCTGACTGCCCTTACCCATGAGGCTCCCGGGCTGGAGGGGGACTGAGGGGAGAGGGGCCGTCCCCTAGGTTGGAGAATTACACAGATACCGAGTTCTCTCGGTGAAGGCCACGCTTCAGTGGAGCTTGGACAGCAGGGGCCAGGAGGGGCAAACCAGGGATAATAGAATCTTATTTGGGGAGGGATTGCGGGGGGGCACAGGGAGAAGCCTTCAAGAATGTGGGGACTTCCAGCATGGAAGCTGGACAACCCCTCACATTTTCAATTGAGATTACAAGTTGTGGCTGCTGACTGATTTTCAGGGGTTGTTGGGGCAAGTCTTAGGGTGAGGCCAGCATCCTGAGGATCAGTGGCTGTCCGAGGCTTCTGAAAACAGACTAACTCTCAGATGTAGATGGAGCCAGTTCTGCTTTCTTTGGGCCTGGAACTGAGCTGAGCTTGAAATCTGTGTCCCCTGCCCCTGATGGTGCACTGTCCAGTTGTGAGGACCCTTAGCTCAGCTCAAGGTAGGGTGGGAATTGAGGACCTTTTTCTACCTTCTCCATCTGGGAGACTGGAGATTAGAATCTGCCCAATGCCCTGCTGTCCAGCCACCACTTTCTGGATTTGATTCTTGGCACCAAGAGTGCCTGTTAGCTTTCCCCTGCCTTCCAACCCGTTGACTCCTCAGCACTATAGGGTCACAACCTGAGCTTTTAATTTTCAATCTGGTTTAAACTGTCTTTAGGGTGTGTGTGTGAAATAAACATTGACAGGTTTTCTGCAGCCCTCAGGTGCCTACTTTGCTGGTTCCCTTTCCAGCAGCCTCCCCACCTCCCCAGTCACCTTCTCCTCTGGGAGCCTCTCCTGCCTCTGCTGAGCTCCCCTCCACGTGTTCCACCCCCTCACCCGGCTGTTGTTTACATCCAGCCTGCCTAAGAATTTCCTCTAGGGAGGAATCTGTTCCTGCTGTGGTCTGGTGCCTGGAAGGGAGAGAACTTGCTGGGGGGCAGGGTGCCCTCCATCTGAAAGGGGCCAGGTGCGCATCATGGAGAGGCCATTCTGTCTATTCTGGGCGGAGCCACAGGCCAGTCTCCTGGCCTTTGGGAAGTTGGCCCATGGTTCCTCCTCTGGACAGACTCCATGGAACTTCTGTAGGCTTTCCCTACCCCACAGCTGCCTTCAAAGTAGCTGCTGGTCTGAGATTCCCCTCCCCCCCCCCCCC